GAAAAATTCTCAGTGTCTTAAACTGTGATTCTTTAGCAATCTCCCTGTTCTAATCTGTTGCTAACCCTTCTCTTCCTTACAATGCAGGTGAAGATTATTCTTTACTTAAATCTCAACATGAACTGTACAATTTGATAGCTTCCCATAGTTTTTCACTGAGAGAGGTCAATTAGAGATCCTACGTTCTAAGTTCCCCACCACTCCTGAAAAATTCTGTTGTTTGAATTTGTTTATTTTTAGGCAAACCAGCCCAGCCTGTCAAAAGGGAGCTTTTGCGGCACCGAGACTATAAGGTGGATTTGGAATCCAAGCTGGGGAAGACCATTGTCATCACCAAAACTACTCCTCAGTCGGAGATGGGAGGGTAAGCCACCTTGAATTCTTCCAGGTTTATCTTGGGTTTCGATTTTAACACAGATGCTCAAGATAATGTTTCATGGAATCATGGGCAAGTGAGGAATGCTTACAAAGTGCTAGTCTCCTTACCTTTGTGATAGTAGAAGAGGAAAACTTTTTTGATTATAGAGGTGAAAATTCCAGACTGAACAAGATGTAGAAAATGTAATCTTCTGGAAAATATTCACAGAAATAATAGTCATGTGAATTTTCTTCACCTTTCCCATCTCGTGTCATTTTTTTCTTAACCACACTAGAAACATGAGCCCTAAGCTGTTACTGGGATCAGTTCAGCCTTTGGTGTCTTTGCTGAGACCAGCAATAAGTTACTGTACATTGGGTGATGTTATGTGACATGTATCTGTCCACTAGGAATTGAGGCAAGAACACTTTTTCTTCCATAGAAGTCCCTGAAGCAGTTATTTTTGGTCACTATTGATGTGACCTGGATTTGAACGGGGGAAGGAACCCTTAACCTATCTGCAGTCCCTTGAGCTATCGGGTCTCTGAAAGAGGGGCTTTAAATTTGGGCCCAATGAGAGTAAGCATTTCAAGGCCCAGTTGTCAAAACAAGGTAGTAAAAAGAGCCAAGAGAAATTGGGCAGGTGGAGGAGTTTCCCCTTAAGAATGAGCTGATTGGAAAGAGGAATAAAGACGTTTTATTACCACAGTGATGGGCTAACTTCTTTTAATTGTTTTTTACCATGCTCTCCATTACTAAAGTGTTGTAACAATTAAGACTGGAAGTTATAACTGTATAAATTATGATCCTGTAAGCTCACTTTAGCCATGTCCAGATTAGCACAGCTGTGCAGTATGTGGTGCCGTAGACACATCTGCAGCACCACTTAGTGCATGTTCAGTTGTTTTCAGTGCTGCAAGAGAGCAGTATGGGGGTGTTTTTTGACTCCTGGGTAACTTGCTGTGTGCCAGAGGGCACATAGCATAGGCATTCCCCAGGGACAACTAGTGGCATAAAGTGTGCTGCTGCTAGTTGTCCCCAGGGAACCAAAGGTCCACACGTGTGGATGTGACCTTTGTTTCTGAGACTGCATTGAAAATAACTGCTTGAATAGAAGAACTATAATTCCAGAGGAAAACCTGTGTGTCCAATATTTCCTGAAGTAGGACAGTTGAAATGCTCCTATACAATGCTAGGCTTAGGGTTGCTATTAGGGGTGCACTGATAGAGATTCATAGATTGTAAGGCTGGAAGGGACCTCAGAAGATCATCATGTCCAGCCCTCCTGTATTAGGCTGGAAAGACAACTGGGGGTCAGGTGACCCCAGCAAGGTGACCATCCAGTCTCCTCTTGAAGATTTCCAGGGTAGGTGATTGTGCCACCTCTGGAGGGAGCCTGTTTTGCAGTCTGGACCCCCTAACTGTGAAGACATTTTTCCTAATGTTGAGCCAGAAACAGCCTTCCAGGAGTCTGTGACCATTACTCCTGGTTTTCCCCAAGGGTGCTCTGGTGAACAGTTGTTCACTGAGCCCTTGATGTGTTCCCCTGATGTAGCGGTAAACTGCTACCAAGTCCCTTCTCAGCCTCCTCTCTTGGGCTGAAGAGTCCCAGGTTCTTCAGCCTTTCCTCAGATGCTTGCTGTGCAAGTCTCTGATCATATGGGTGGCTCTTCTCTGGACTCTCTCAAGCTTTTTCACATCCTTGTTAAAGTGCGGTGCCCAGAACTGGGTGCAGTACTCCAGCTGAGGTCTCACTGATGCTGAGTAAAGCAGAAGAATCACTTTCTTAGTTTTGCTTGAGATGCATCGATTGATGCTTGCCAGGGTATTATTTGCCCCGTTGGCTACAGCGTTGTACTGACAGCTCATGTTCATGCTGTGGTCTGTTATTACCCCCAGGTCCCTTTCATTTGTGGTGCTGGTCAGTTTGGTGCTGCCAAGCCTGTAGGTATTTTAGGGGATTGTTCATCCCCAGGTGGAGCACTTTACATTTCTTAATGTTGAACTTCATGCGGTTCCAATCTGCCCAACTTACTAGCCTGTTTAGGTCTGCCCATATCTGCAGCTTATCTTCAAGCATGACTGTGCTTCCCCATAACTTGGTGTTGTCCGTTAACTTGGCCAGTGAGCTCTTCACCCCCACATCCAAATCATTGATAACGATGTTGAAAAGCACTGGACCAAGCAGTGACCCCTGAGGGACACAGATCTGTTCGTTGGATCTGGGTCTTACCCCTCATCCAGCTTTCTACTCACCTAACTCATGCAGTTAAGCCCACAATCCTCCAATTTTCTCATGAGAACATTGTAGGATACCAGATCAAAGGCCTTTTGGAAGTTAAGGTATACAGTGTCAAATACATAGGGGATAAAACGAAGGTACTGGGTAACGTGGGGCCTCTGCAGGGCATGCTAGAAAATCTGGTTGTTGCACCAGACAGCAAAGCTAACCTATTTAATGATTTCTTTGCCTCCATTTTTCTGAGCAGGGACTGGGTCACCCCCACCCCCCACTGTAGGTCCCAGGGGAGGCGCACCCAGGCCCAGGGTCAGTGAGGACCTAGTCAGGGAACTTCTGGGGGGACTGGACATATTTAAATCAGCAGGTCCTGACGATCTCCATCCCAGAGCGTTGAGGGAATTAGCATAGGTCATAGTGGGACACCTGGCACGACTTTATGAACACATGGTGCTCTAGTGTGGTGCCAGAGGACTGGAAAAGAGCCAATATGGTTCCCATTTTCAAAAAAAGAGAGGAAGGAAGACCCAGCAAACTATAGGCCAGTCAGTCTTACCTTGGTCCTGGGTAA